TGTGTGTGTGTGTGTGTTAAAAGACACAAGGGTTTCACATGAGCGTCTGAACACTGATCCCTGCAATAATGAACAAGACCGGGGGTTTAGAAAAGACTCACTAATCTCTTTTCCCTGGCACAAACGTTCACATTTCATACGCTCTTTGATGGAATAAAGCGTGTTAAAGCCACTTCGCTTTCTGTTGTGTGTCTGTGTGTGTGAGTCTGTGTGTGTGTGTGTGTGAGTGTGTGTGTGTGTGTGTGTGTGTGGGTCTTAATGTGTGAGTGTGTGTGTGTGTGTGTGTGTAGAAAAGTGTGTGTACACAGCTCTCTGTGGTGGGAATGTTCCAGCTTAGTGAGGGAATTTTGGCTGATTCCTTCAAGTCTGCAGGAAGCCAAGAATGGATATCCAACTCCCCACATCCAAGTCGGCCATTTTGATTAGGTCACCAATAGGAAGATCCCAGGCAAGAAAATCGAAAATTGCTTCATGGCAATATAGACATTAATTTAAAAATAGTGAAATAATTCTATCAAACACTGAATTAAACTCTATCCATAATATTATGTTAAAATAGTGGATGTTAAATAGGTTTGTACAATAAGTCCAAACAAGTTTAACCAGAAAATATTTATTTCTCACAATTATGAAGGGTGGAGGGTTAGGGTTAGGGTCAGGGTTAGGGTCAGGGTTAGAGTTAGGGTTAGGTTTAGGGTGGAGGGTTAGGAACAGGGTTAGGTTTAGGGTTAGGTTTAGGGTTAGGTTTAGGGTGGAGGGTTAGGAACAGGTTTAGGGTCAGGTTTAGGGTTAGGTTTAGGGTGGAGGGTTAGGGTCAGGGTTAGGTTTAGGGTTAGGGTCAGGGTTAGGGTTAAGGTCAGGGTTAGAGTTAGGGTCAGGGTTAGGGTTAGGGTAGGGTTAGGGTTAGGTTTCTGGTTAGGTTTAGGATTTGGACATTGTTTATCTTCTGATTTCGTATAGACAGTAAAGTTTCGTTAAAGCTGCTAGTCACATGACCTACTCAAAATGGCCGACTTGGATGTGGGAGGAGTTGGATATCCAAACCAGGCTCCAACAGGCTGAGTGTGAGCAAAAACACACATTTCCAGTCGGCTTTCTCTTTTTTTTTTCTGCTCAGACATGTGAAAACACAGATGCATTCCAGTCTTTATCCAGACAGAAACAAGAACTAGATCTGTGTTCATCAGGATGGTTTCTATTCACTAGATGATGTTCTTTTATTGGGGATAAATCCCCAAAATGAGGCCAAACCTGCCCATTCAAACTGAATGGTTATGTGTTCACAGTACATGTTACGTTGTTTTGAGCACAAACAAGGAGCCAGTCAGCCATTCCTATTGAATAAGATATATATTTAAAATAGTTGTATTAAAAAAGAAGGTAAATCTATTGAAGTAGTTTTCTAATAAATGACGTAAGTTTTCGAGCTCAAGCAGTCTGTAACATTTTAAGGTTCCTTAAACTTAACCCTCCACCCTAAACCTAACCCTAACCTTGACCCTAACCTTGACCCTAACCCTAACCCTCCAGCCTTCATAATTGTGAGAAATAAATATTTTTTGGTTAAATTTGTTTGGACTTATTGTACAAACCTATTTAACATTACACTATTTTAACATAATATTATGTACAGAGTTTAATTCAGTGTTTGCAAGATTAATTTCACTATTTTTAAATTAATGTCTATATTGCCATGAAGCAATTAGGATTTTCTTGCCTGGGCTCATCCTATTGGTGACCTAATCAAAATGGCCGACTTGGATGTGGGGGAGTTGGATATCCGTCCTTGTTCCTGCAGTCTGCAGCCAGGGATTGTTACACTTTAGTGGACCAACACAGCTAATAAAGATCGTCTGCCCTGATAATACCGGACACACGACGTTTACAGCCTGTGTGTGTGTGTGTGTGTGTGTGTGTGTGTCTGTGTGTGTGTGCGTTTTTATGTGTGTGTCTGTGTGTTTTTCTTTCCCTAACATCCCAGCATGAGGGAAAGTCACTGAAGTCTCTAAATGGCAAACAACACCTGGCCACCCTAAGCAAAACGCTACTGTGTGAACTATAGCTGCTGATAAGAGGACCTGATTGGGGACGGGCGGGGGGTGGGGGGGGGGGCAACAGCCTGCTGACACTTTGGGAATGAGACCTGACTAAAGACTTCAGCAGATACTT